CTTGCCTATTGTGCAAGACATATGTGATGATATAGACATTGATAGTGGAATAAAAAACTTTTTTTTAAAGTAGGGCAATAAGGCATTAATTAAAGACAGAAGTTTTGTTTATAACTCTAACAATTATAATATTTTTTAATAAAAATATAAATAGTAATAGTATTGTTCTAGTTTTAATAGGAAGTCGATTGAATTTTATATGCAAATCGCTAACAACTTAATCTTGTCGATCATCAAGGTATAATCATGTGTTCTATACCTGTTATATCAATATTCACTTTATCAAAAAAGTACCCTAATAGAGGGCATTACACTTTACAACAAACTAGGCAATGATATCAAAGACATAAACACAATTCATACATTTAAAAGTAAATTGAAATCTTTCCTGCTTAACAACATGTTCTACAGTGTAAAGGGATTTTCAAATTACAACATTTCCCTTAAAAAATATAAATAAATAAGAATTTCTTATTCCATTAGACTTTCTGTTTCATGTGAACTGTTTCAAGCTGAAGCAAAGAAAAAAATCTGCATATCACATCCTGTGAAATAGAAGAAAAAAAACTGGTCAAAACTTGCCTCCTCACCATTTCAAGTTATAAATATAGAATGTACTACTATTGTTAAATTTGATGTAGTTGCAAACATAATTGATATGTATTATTAATGTAATTATTATTAATGTAATTATTATTAATATAATTATTATAAGTAGTAGCATTAAAATATCATATTGAAATGTTAATTATTAGCAGATAATTTATCTACTGTATAATATCTTAATCTAACTGTAACAAGTATTGTATTTCTAGGCCAATGACCCCATCTCGATCAGGTTTTGTTCAGTTTCTCTGATCCTTTGAGCAAATGCTGAGATGGCCCCTTGTTTGCTCCTGAACAGTAATATAACTTCGCTCTCTCCACCCAAGGCATCATATTGACTCGTCATACACGATTGTAATTGTATATGTGACTCAATAAATATTATTATTATTATTATTATTATTAATGTGAGTAGCATAGAGTAAGAATGTTTTTAATAAATGTTATTATTATATTGTAAAACATATATTCATGACAGCTTCATCCTGCGAAAATTTACAATTTGAAATTCCATAAGCAAAGGATTGTGACACTGCAAGATTAATACTTGTGGTTTCTTTTAATGTAGATGAGGATGCAATAATGGGAAACCGACTGTTCATGGTTATGAGAATCAAAGGGTCCGGGTAGTGAAATACGGCGAATTCACACAAAGCTATTTTGTACATGAGCGATAGAGGTTGATTCGTTGCCTGATCGTCCTGACGGAAAATACTTTCCTAATTACGTTCGAGCACTCCAATAATACTTGGATGTCACCTTCGCCTTTAAGTGCCCATGAATCACATTACGCCGGTGCAGCCCCGCAGTTACTCGCTAGCGGTGTCGCCTGCCAGCAGAATCCAGCTTACCGGGCAAGGTAACAGGACGGGCGTAAGGTAAAAAGCGCCAGACACGAAATCAAAATTTTCTTACCCCTGCAGGAAGGGTACAGAAGGGAGAAATGTGCTTGGAATCAAACACCGACCACTGTCGTTTTCAGTTTCCTGAAAAAAAAGACTACTATTTCAATTCCATTAGAGTTTCATAAACACCCTTATCGTTATGTTTATTTCGATAAATGGAAAGAAACATAATTTCTTCTTAGATGTTTTGACAAATGTTACGAAACATTTTATCGTAAACGTTTTTTTAAAAAACCAACAAATTGGACATTTTTGGTGCTCACTTTGGTGTCGTGTTTAGTGCCAGGGAACTGATCACCTCCCGTATTTCTGAGTGAGCTTTAAGAGGTATTTTTGAGGCGGCATATACGGTTCACACATTTTGTGGAAACACACATTGAAACTTTTTAATTCACAGCAGTGTTGGAATGCTACGGCAAAACGGAGTCCTTGAGTATCCCTATCTCTTCATGCGGATTCAGCGCAGTGCACCACTCATGATGACCATTGCAGTGGGGTGGCTCATCACACCTGCTCACGGGCAATCACTCCTAGAATTATTGCAAACTGCTCATCAATTATTACTTCCGCAAAATGGTGAGATATTTTGTACAGTCTTAGTTCGTAATATTGTTAATAATAGTTATAATAATAATAATGATAATACAACAACGGAGCGATTTTTGTAAGAACGGTCCGTTGTGACAGCTAGTCCTGGCAACATACCTGAAGGTTCTGTGGGCGTTGAGTCCTTCAGCCCATTTGTCTCTCCTTTCATTGGTTCGTTTGCAATTAGCTAACTTGTAAATGGCTTCGACGCTTCCTTTTGTGATGTCATCGTCCGACAAAAATATAGTTCACTAAGAGAAATAATCGAAATTTGCAAGTGCAGTGATACTATGCTCGTCTGTAAAAATTCTTTTTTTATAAACATTACATTGAATTTACTTTCTTTGAGATAAGTATTATGTTTATTTGAAAACCGAGTCTTGAATGTGAGACGCGTACTCGCGCACGAGTTCCCTGCTGCGCAATAAAGTGGCTGTGGTTTTCGAGAACATCCCGTGGTTTTCGTTTTATCAATTTATGTTTTATATAATTACACGGTTGTGAACCATGAGAAGCCATGATGTCTTAACCGGAGCTATGTACTAACATAAACACGTTACGAAGAGATGTGGCCGAACAGCTGTCGCGGCGGAGGGACACTTCTCTGAATTTCATGTGATCACTTTGTAGTGAACTGTCATTTTGACTCCTTGTTAGGCAGATTCTTCTATAATTGTGACTGTTCGCTCAGAGTGAAGTCATTATTTCTTATAGCAAACCTGGGTACTGGAAATGAATGGAATGTAGACGTATAAATATGCGTGTGAATATTGGAAAGCATATCTGCCAGCGAAATAAACGCATTTTTAGTTTGTGTATTCGAATTTTTAGTTTTGACAATTTAATACTCCTTGCAGTCTCGTTCCGTGACCACTAAAATATTTCTTTCAAGAGCTTTGATATTTATTAAAATTCTTCAAATTAGCACTTTTAATTTGAAGTGGGCATTTTGCATGAGAAGTACATTATATATAAGTTAATGTAATGTGCCTGTAGATCTTTTTATCTATTTTTTTGTCTCGGGGCGTCGCAGAAATCTCTAACGGATGACGAGCTTTGCTTTGCCGGTGAAGGACTGCCGCGCATCCCTTCAATAGGAGGCGTTGAAACCGCTGATCCGATTTACTCCAGGACCCTCCGACCGGCAGAGTCGAATTCAGCCGCTGTCTCGGGGAGAATTATTGCAACCGGCTGCTCTGACGAGTAATTTTCCATGGTTTCTCCGGAGCAGACCCGGACAAACCACACAGGGACCGTGCGCAATCTTTCCTTCCTCTTCCTTGTCCTGTTCCCATCTTACTTACACATACTTACACTCACATGTACTACACCACGATAGAAATCGGGAGCTTAGAGATTGCGTCGGCTGGGGCTGTGCCCTGCTGATGGGAGATACATGTTTGGGAAAACCCCGCAAGCCGACGTGTAGGTTAATATTGAATTTCGTTATCCAACGGGGAATGCAGGATGAAATCATACATTAAAGTTAAAGGTTAATTACTAAAGCATCTGACGCGTCCGTAAACATGAAATAATCAATCAAGGCGCTTCCGAAACACATTCTCTGCATCAAACGACCCGGAAGCACACGGTGTACTTGGACGAAAGAATCAACAGTCGTTGATAATGGTATCCCAGATCTCCTCATCTTGAATTGAATTGTTCGCCCGTGGGTTTTGTGGGGAGTGTATTTGAAGGTTTAAATGTTACGCAAGAAACGTGTATACAGAAAAGGACATTACAAATCACACTATTGCCATTTCACGTGATTTGCATAATTTTCTTTAGCGTAACCAAAAAGCGACAGGAACTCATCGCGCACTATCGGCGTAACAAAGCCTCATTAGCCGTGTGAGATTTCTGCGCCACCGACTAATTACAAAAAATCGCACAGTAGTGTAAAATACAAATGAAGGGGTCCGGCAACACGCTAACCCACATTTGGCATTTCCAAAATAAAGATGTTAAAATTTCTCCTAAAGGAAAACAATACGATTCAAACGCCGTACAAACACGTTCATTAATCTACAGTGTGCCAATAGATATCAGTAAGAAGAGTCTATATTACGGCTGAATCCTGGAAAACGTGAATTCGCGACTTGGATAAAGGATTTGACGGTTTGGATAAAAGAGGATAGTTTGGAGTAAAGGAGGACGGTTTGGATAAAGGAGACGGTTTGGATAAAGATGTATGAATGACGATAAATGGATCGTTTCGGAAATAATACCAGATTTCCATAAAGCTGAAAACCGGAGGTTTTTCGCTTGAACTCAGAAATGCATTGCAATGTGTGAATTGAGATATATAGTTACTCAGGATAGGTGGTATTAGATAAAGAGAAATTTATGACATACCTTGTCCCGCACTAGCCTTAGAAACTCCCCACCAGCAGCCTCATTCCTTTCTGTCACACAATATAGGGTATTTCTCAATGTAACATATTTCACATATTCTAGACATCACAATTTCATGTCGGTAAACCGATTCCCAGTTTGGAAGATGTGTTGTTTGAGAAATTAGCCAGGCTCGCATTTTATCCGTAACATAAATACAAACTGAAACATGTCTGGATTCACAAAAACAAAACTTAGTTTTTCCTCTGACGGACAAAAATTAGAGATGTAAGAGTTAGCTATATGTTGTTCTGACCCCATCAAATAAACACGATGAGAAAATTTGTGAACATTGGATTAAATATTAATCAATAAACTAAACAAAGATTCCAGTTAATATCGTACTGTTGACTAGAGGTACCATCGTAAACTCAGTGACTCGATGAGTAGACATGTTATACAGTGAAGAGGAACTCACACTTAGAGTTCGAAATGTGTAATAATACAAAAATTAAAATTATGTAAATGGAGTCACCGTTTAGTTAACTGATCAGAGACGCTGGGCTAATGGTGTTGCGCGCGGCAGCGGGCGCGGCCGCGCAGGAGCACGCCGTCCTCTACGAGGGGCTGGGCTGGGTGAACACGTCGCGCGCGTGGTTCCGGCCCTTGTGGCGGGCAGTGAACCCGGTGCCCCGCGCGCGCGCCGCCATCAACACCACGGTGCGCCTGTTCACGCGGAGCGACCCCGAGCGCGGCCGCCTCCTGCTGGGGCCCCCGCCGCCCGGCGAC